ACAAGTAAAAAATGTTAAATAAGAAACTAAATATTTCAAATATATAAAGATTCCAAGTATGATTACAAGCATAATCTTTTGTTTTGAATAGACTAATTACAAAACTTCAAATATTAAAAAAGTTTTAACAGTAGACTAGTAGTATTACAGAGACTAGTTGATAAAATCACTTACTCACAGTGGCAGCACTACAGGGGAACAGGGGCCAACCCATTTTTTTTCTTGTCCCCCCTACATACACAGAGCAAATGTAATGTGTAAAACAAGAAAACACATTCGCACACACACTACTTCTTTATGAGACTTTTTTTTTTCTTGTACACTAGAAGTCACTCAGATATATCCTATGTTAATAGGTATTCCCTTTAACCCTACTTTTATATATTAATGGTACTACAGCACTAAATAATTACTTTATTTAATTAAATAATGCTCGAAAGAACATTATTCATCAATCCACTTTTAAAGGGACTTGTTATCACCCCCCCCTACACACAAAAAACTAAATATGCTAGAAATACTTTTTGAAACCCAACATTGGTTAAATGTAATTTAGCATACTAAAATTTTTGGGGAATAATGAGCTCCTTTAAAATTACACACGAGTACAAGATGTCTTGTTTTGCCACCCAAATTTTTGATGGTGGCACTGCCACTGGTTATTCATTACAGACTAAGCCTAGCTGATAAAATCAGTTACTCACTACAGGCTGAGACTGGTATGTTTTAGTTCTTACCTTGAATAAAGATCATATAAACTTCTAAGGTACTTATCAGTATTGCTTCTGTCATTCAGTTTACTCTGAATATGTTCCTAAGGGAGAACAAAGACCAAAAGTTAAGCCAAGAAGAAATGAACAAGTACAGCTATATTCTATACCGATGTACACAACTGTAATTAACTTTCCATTTAAACTTTTGCCATTCAGGATAAAGATTAAGTAAAACTTTTATTCTGTATAAAAGAAATTATATTAAAAAACGAATTTTTTTCTATTTAAAAATATTGCCAAATTGATTTTACTTTATTTCATTTCAAAAGTTTCTATGAATTTCAATGAAGAACCCTCTTCATTCCCCATTATTAATAATCTATACTAGGGAGTGAGATTATGTCTCTTCATTCCTCAGTATTCAGTCTTACCTGAATTACAAAAAATTTCTAAAACCCAATGTAGAGTGATTTATAATCTATACTAGGGAGTGAGATTATGTCTCTTCATTCCTCAGTATTCAGTCCTACCTGAATTACAAAAAATTTCTAAACTCCGATGTACAGTGATTTATAATCTATACTAGGGAGTGAGGTTATAATGTCTCTTCATTCCTCAGTATTCAGTTCTACCCGAATTATAAAAAATTTCTAAAGCCCGATGTAGAGTGATTTATATTGTATACTAGGGAGTGAGGTTATAATGTCTCTTCATTCCTCAGTATTCAGCCTTACCTGAAGTTTTCCATGATATATATTGAGGACAAACTTGGCCATCACTTGCTCGGGACTAGTGAAAACCTCTTGCATCACTTTCTGACTACGTTCACAGAGAGGTAAAATGTCAGCAAAGATGTTTAAGCCCAGGAAAGCACCCTAGAACAGGAAAAGGTGCCACTCTGGATGTAATAACATTATTTTAAGGAAATATATGAATACAACTTACAAAACTGCTTACACATAATTCAAAGTTTCTTTATGAAGATTGAATAAATGCTATTAATGATAATTAAAACTGGACAAGCTATAGAAAAATAAATGCTTATTACATTCTTATGGTAAATTGTTATTGTTAATTCAGTTATTTAAATCCTGACTGCCAGTGTGGCAGTTAATGGTTGTAATACTGATTAGTTTCAGTTAACTCACTGCCAGAACATTTTACAAACTGATTGCCTAGATTTTCACCAAACAAGTATTTTATTTTAATTTCTCTTCCATTGTAACCACCACAAAAAACGTGGGTTATCTTTATTACTCAAACTTCTAGTTTTCATATATTCTGCTTCCCGTTTTGTGAGGGTTGGAATGTATTAAAGTTTAAAATAAACAAAGACACACGACAACAATGGCCAAATCTAGTCCACACTCTGAAGTTGTGCTATAAGATGTACTGCATGTTCCATAGTACATATCAAAGAAAATATTTTATCAATTTTGTTTAATTTTGAAATACTGACCCGTGAAAGTTCTTTACGAGACCATATGTCCAATCGAGATCTAAGTTTGTTAGGTTTGTTAATATGCACAAAGCTGCATAATGGGCTGTTCTGTGCTTTGCCCACTACAGATAACAAAACTTGGGGAAGTCTCCAGATCTAAGAAATGTAAAGTTGCTGTGACGAACAACAAAAAGGCTGGTTAGGTTCTCTTTAGGTCCTTCCTCATCTTTATCAAGAAAGTATATTGCCATTCTTTGTCATTAATAATGTACTGGTATGCAAAGAGACAGGGTGATTAACTACTAATAAGTTCTCACCCATATACGAAAGTTATGAGGCTGATGTAACAAGCATATAATGATAAGGAACGGTTCTCTAGATCCAAATGTAGTTGACAACCACACCCCATTCAAAAAACTTAACAAATAGGCATTGTAGTATTCTTTTTGTTTTCTATACACAACACTGCCCTCAATGTCTTTACGACTGATACTCATATAATTATATACTTATATGATTTACCTGGCTTTCTAACTAAGACACGAGTGACTTAAGATAATTCTCATATGTGGTCAAGCAGAGCTCCAACAGTGCATACAAAGAAAATGATGCCCACATATTCAAATTTGCATAGACTAAGACCTTTAAACCCTGCAGCTGTCGGTTCAATGAAATCCTTGATTTCCATTGGTTACAAATAATACAACAGCAAAAAGCAGAGGGAACTTAAGACAGTTTTTGAAAGTAGGATGTTCTGTGGGAGGTGGCATGTGGCTTTTACTTTATTACTTGTATCTCTGTATAGCAAAAAGCTTTCTCACTACAAGTTCACAGTATAGCTCTGGAATACATATAGTTTTTTTGTTTTTGATTTTTTCTGTAACAACCTTATTCCCAACTAGTTTGGGGTTGTTTGGTATTTTTGTATGCCAATAATTTTTACACCCAGGTGGCTGGCTCAGTCAGTAACCATATAAGATAAGCATTTTCTGGAACAGGGAATCGAGGTTGCAACCCTCAGATTGCTAGTCAAGCACCCTGACATGCCAGGCCCTGGGGTATTTATGGTACATGTGAGAAATTCCACAAACAGTTACAAGACCAAATAGGTGTAGCAGAAAAATTTAGAAATACGCAGTTTGGACTGAAAAAGTGCCACTGGATACAGAAAGTGAAGTTTGGTTATTTATATATATATATATATCCTTTTAAAATCAAGAAATTAAAACTTTTACAATATCAAAATATGAATGATAAGCCATGTTTTAATGCCAAGTATATTGATAATAAAGTAGTTTAATTAAATTTTGAATGTAACTCTGTAAACAGTTGTGAAATACGCATTTTGACCTACCCTTACCAATAGGGTTAATGCTGTAAATGTTATCGTATTCTACAAAAGCACAGCTCCTTGTTGTTCTGCATGTTTTTAAAACTACAGTCTTAACTGAATACACATTTTCATTCACTCTGTAACAAGAAAATGATCACAACTCACCATCTGGCTTTGTTCAATGAATGCATCAATACACTGTGTATAACCCTGAAAATAAAATAAAAAACACAATTTCAAAAACTGAAAAAACAAAACAAAAGGATTTATTATAAACAAACAAAAATACATAATAACATGAATGTGCAATACGTAAAAAGGCCATTTAAGTAACAATATCGCCACAGACAAATTGTTGATAGGCAGTTTTAATTTATGGATATGCAGTGATTCCTTAATTATGAGAACAAGCCCAATCTTCTTATTCTAGGCCAGGGTCTGGAAACAAAAATGGTTCTTTTTTTTTCTGGGGGGAAGGGGTCCCCACAATATCGCCACAGACAAATTGTTGATAGGCGGTTTTAATTTATGGATAACCAGTGATTCCTTAATTCTGAGAACAAGCCCAATCTTCACATTCTAGGCCAGGGTCTGGAACCACAAATGGTTTATTTTTTTCTGGGGGGAGGGGGTCCCCACAAGCTCTCGGGGTTTTTATCTTTTAGGGAGTTAGAAAATTGTCTATTCCTTACATTTCTGTTAAATGACTAAAGAAAAGAAGATATTTTATTTGTGTTGTGGGTAATCATTCATTTGTTATATATCTGTCAACAATCAGTGTCTATGAACAATACTAACAAAGACATTTTAAACTTAGCATGAAGCACTTCCCTATGGATAAAGTCAGAAATTCACCAGTGATGTTCAAAGGAATACTCTGTATATTCCAACCACTCTCCTGCTTCTTTTTCTCCAGTGATTTACAATCAACTCCTTATCATCTGATAAGTAACCTATCATTTTCCCTCTAAAATCATATAATCAAGTACTTATTCATTTTCATAGTTTTTCACACTTGTGCTCCAATGTTGCCTGCCAACTAGTCAAAGAGTTAGCATGAAAATTAAGTGGTATGGCATATAGAAAATGAAAACGAAAAGAGTAACAATATAAACTTAGGTTTCAGCGGGTTACAGATAAATGAAATGAACCAAAATTCCCCACAAAACATAGAAATAGATAGGATTACATGCGAATTAAGGAAATCCGGAGATAGACCTTATAGTAGAAGGGTGCAGTTGCACCCTTTGTTCTCAGTTCATCCCCAGATTCACCTGTGCTATTCCCATTTCCTGACACTTAGCCTGGGTGTGCCATGGTAATCAAATAACTGGCATGGCATGGGCAATTGAAAAAAAATCTTGTTAGTCAAAATTACTGAAACTTTCTGTACTCAGAATCTTCTATTAAAATGACGAAAATGCATATATTATACTTGACAGTAAGAACCTGTGAATCTTCCTTCTGAAATGTGTACTAGTGATGTTTTCCTAGTGCTTTCTTAGTTTTACTAGAAAAAATGCAACACTAACCCGCAATTTTGAGTATGTCAAAGATAATTTCTAACTTTGAATAATTGTAGCAATTACAATATTATTCCCTGATTAGAAAACTTAAAATAGATTTCAGAAATTTTTACAAATTCAGCTATACCAAAACAATTTTCAAAATTAATCATCACAGAACAACAAAAACATTAATGTTTTTAAAGTTACATTGTAACAACTATTTACATAGTTGTAAATTGTATATCATACGTTACAACTACTTACACAGTTGTAAATTGTATATCCTACCTTACAACTATTTACACAGTTGTAAACTGTAACAGTTGTAAACTGTATATCCTACCTTACAACTATTTACACAGTTGTAAACTGTATATCCTACCTTACAACTACTTACACAGTTGTAAACTGTATATCCTACCTTACAACTACTTACACAGTTGTAAACTGTATATTCTACCTTACAACTATGTACAGAATTGTAAACTGTATATCCCACCTTAAAATGTGATAATATTCCAGCCACTTCCCTCATTTTTATTTTGTCATCTGCTCGATGAGCACGGACAAATTCTTCAATTAAAGCCCTTTCAATTTCATCATATTTTAGCGTAATTCTATGATGGGCCTTGTCAAATCTGTATAAAAATTAAATTTCATTTATAAGATAAAAACTTCATAAAATTCATCATTAGTTATACACAACAATCCAGTATAACCTCAAATTGTCTATCCATTTATAAAATGTTGACTGCCTGTAGAATCCACATATTGCACCATAATGAGTAATTTTCTGTTTTTCCTTTTTACAACAATTAGTGGAAAGGAATGGGTCGAATCACCCATGTAAGATACACAGGGGGCAGTAATTACTGGGGTTGATCGTCATACTGATTGGATTTTTGTTTTACATTTTTATTTTATTTTTTGGTGTGACTTGTATGCTATATAAGCGATTTTGTAATTAAGAAAGTCATAAACTCACAACCAATTTGGAACATAAGTAGTTTAGAAAAATATGTTTAAAAATACAATGAGATTCATGTTCCATGGTTAACTGAAATAACACAGTTTGATTTCTAACTGCATGTAAAATTATTCAAGAAAGTCAACTCATACTTTACAGTTGTACAGTTATATAAAAAAATGTGTTGAGAAACCTACTCTCTCTCTCTCCCGATATTATATTAATAGCTTTTAATCCACAAGAAGCTAACTACATAGATCAGTAAGTGTGTGTATTTTCTAAACTGGCATCTGAAAATAATATTTAAGGATTTTAAATTATACATTCATATCCAGTCCCAATATCATCTTTATATAAATATAAAACTTAATTCCATTCTAAAGTTAATAGCTAACTCCAATCTTGAATAACAGACTTTTTAGGTTTATTTACCAAATAATACTCTCCCTGCCCCAAAAGCCCAATTTTAAACAGTTTTGTTGCTTTGTATAATTTACAGTTACTAATATGTCAAATACTGTGTGCCATAAAGATTTTGAGCATTGTCACATTTCTATTCTTACTTTAAAATGTTTCTTTAACTCTTTCCTTACTAGCTCAGTCATATTGACCACCAAGTAACTATGAAAGTATCCATACTATAACTTCTAATGTGGTACATGTACCTTCATGAACCTTCACAAGCTTTTAGTAAACATTGTAGTATTTTTGTACACAAAAAATCAATTTAGTAATTAAATATTCTTACAAAAGATTTAACCTGAATATAAGGAGTCGGAGAATTGACTAATCCGAGCACAAGGTGATTTTCATGTGAAGATTGAATATACTTTTATTCATCTTACAGTTTACAAATTTCATTTTTTTATAACTTCCAAAACCTCCTCAATGAATATTAAATGTTTTGTTTTCAGTAAAATTTCATATTTTATGTTATTTTCTCTATAATAACTCTATATGGACTCAGTTGATTTGACTGACTTTGTAACCACCACAAAAAAACATATAAAATAAATCTAAGTTATCCTTTTCTTTTTACAATGATGAAGACTGTAACAAAAAAAAATATAAATAACTTAAGGCTTGTAACAGTCTACATCTGTTTCTACTTAATTTTATTGTTTTATTGCATTTTGAACCATTTCTTACTAATTACCTGTCGATACAAACTATAAATCATTCAGTGAATGCATACTTTGTGCAGAAATGTTCATTATCCAACCTAATATAACTTAATAACCCTCTAATTTTTACAATTTAGTTTTTATAACAATAAATAAAAAAACAAGAAATGTAATGTTTGGTCCCATTTTATTTTTGCTGTTGGACTGCTTAGGAAATTTAAGCCTACTTTATTTTTTATTATGATGGTACTAGTATATTCTCATACAAGGAGAGATTGGGGATTTATTTAAATATTTCCTTTTAAAATTAAGAAATTAAAACTTATATAATATTAAAATTTGATTTATTAACTATCTTTAGATGCCAAGTTTATTTGTATACATTGAAAATAAAGTAGTTTAATTACATTTTGAAGGTAATTCTGTACAAGGTTGTTGATGTGCACTCTGATCTACTCATAGTGAGAGGGTTAACAGATTTTGTAAATTTTACTGTTCTTGATCTACTATATCATCGATACATCTTTTACTATTTTAATATTCAATATTTATTTTTGAATACTATGTACTTAATTGTGCAGATTTGCGTTTTGCTTAAAAAACCCAAAATGACAGAAAGAAATTTACTTCTGACACTATAAATCACAAAAAAAGTTTGATCTTACTTGCCAGCAGGGAGTTCTTGGGCAATAAGATGTAATTTCTGAATTACATCAGCAGCTTCGTACAGCTGAAAAACAAAACGAGTAAATACATTTCCAAACATTATATTTGTTATCAGATATTAGAACTTGATAAATTGGTTATAAGAAAAACTAATCTCTCACTCTTTCTTTACTTGTATGAATAAATAGAGAAAATAATATGCATATTAGCAAACCTTTTACTTAAATCTTGAAAACTTGACTTTATGAACATTGTGAAAGAAAAACTTGACCTACCATTGTTTCTTTACTTATGTTACTAACACATATACAAAATGTTATATTATTCACTCCAACAACAAAATGCAAAATAATTAACACTGTCCACTATATTCTGGACAATTGGTATTTCATATTCTATTATCTACCTTCAAGAGTGCAGTCCACATCTGAACCAATAACATGCAAAATGCTTTACAAATGCCAATATATCACTTATCAAACTTGACAGAAACAAAAACAAATTCAGCCAATTGCAATCACCTACAACTACATAATTTAAACGAACTGAATATCATTTGAAATTATTTTGTAATTTTTGGGAGAATCACAAACCTTCAGTGATTTTTACTTTAATAAAATCTTTCAAAATATAGATCTTTAAATAATTTTTTTCTTTGTTTCATCAATAGTATATTGCTGCAACCAACTCTCTTTCATACCCTTGTTGGATCTGACAGTACTCCCATTACTGATGGCCCAGGATTTAAAAAGTCTGCAAAATGCCGCATGAGTTTCTGGGCTTCCACAGCTCTAGCACGAGGTGTGTTCACACTTTCTAACTGGTCACCGAGATGAACTACTTTGGTTGCTACAAAATCAATCCCTTCATCCAATTCTTGAAAAGTTGCAAATGCTGCCTAAGCATTAAACATCAAAATGAGCTAAGTAACTGTGAGTAAGTCTACAAAATTGTAAACAAAACAGAATCACAAAAATACAAGACATAAAAGATTATTAGTTCATCAATTAAAGTAATTCTAAAGCTTCTTATGTATAAAAATAGCATTAAATTATGTATTTTATATACAAAAACAATAACTGAACTATGAAAACACCAAACTGACCTAAAAAAACCACTTATGTGAAACTATTTAGCAAATTGTCCACCTAAAAGGTGAAGTAACTACCCTCACACCCCCTCCATGGGTGAGGGTATTGCAATCTCATTCCACATATCTCAAAAACTAATACACCGATGTACACAAACATTTTACACAAGATGTGAAGTCAGTATGGGACAGTAGAAATGACACCCACTAATCAAGCAATTCACACACAGAGTAAACAAATGTACTTGCTAAAACATCAATTTTTTCTTTCATGAGCAGGATAAAAAAAAATGTTTTATTTAAAATGAGTTGATAAAGAACTTTCACATGGATAAGTCATGATAATACAACACCATCTTGATGGATATATAATACTTAATGTCAGCTAAGCCTAGTTACACTCAGATATATAATACTTAATGTCAGCTAAGCCTAGTTACACTCATCAATTCTCCATTTGAATGTCTTTCCCAAATTGTTGTTGTACATTATGACAAAAAATTTTTTATGAAATTAACATCTATTACACATGCATAGGCACTATCATACATTTAGCAAAATAAACATTTTTGATATTACAATTTCATTCCTGCAAGTTGTAATCTAGAATTAAAACAAAACAGTTAATGCTTCTGTTCAGTTACTCACTTTATTTTTATCATGAAGTTCAGTAATTTTTTCCCAATGAGTTTTCTCCTCTTCCCTACAGATCATCTCTAGCCTTTCACATTTCTTGTCCATATTTTCGTACAGTATCTGCAGTTCTTTTATAGTATGCTCAAAGGCAGTATGAAGAACACTAGGATCAAATGTTTCTCCATCACAATGACCAGCTGTAGTTCTCCATGCTAATCTCTCCACAAACTCCTCAGCATCAAATGGATCCTTTATAGCAGGCGTGAATCAAAATAATTTGGTTTAGTACAATTTGGATGAAATATTATAAACTAATAACATTAATCAGGTACTTATCCTGATATCACTTTTTTTTTTAGCTTAAAGCCGAACTCTCCATTATTCACCATATACTAATGTTTAATCTTTCTAATGTGGTAATACAAGTTCTTTGCTACAGCAACTCCAAAGTGGGGGGCTCAAGGTTTATTTGACTGAACAAAGCAAGGGAATGTGCATCACAGGTGCACCCATTATGGCTGGGGTCCAGAACTTGCCTTAGGGGTGTTGGGTTCTGGATTACATTCTCCTGCTTTTCCTTAAGAGTAATTTTCATTTTTACTTGGACTATGCCACTGAATCCCCATTGTGTTATGAAAGAAGAGATACAGTTTAGTAATAAAATATAAAAAAAATTATTGAAAATCTCAACCTATCATCATTAAAACTTCTAGAAAGTATAAACTACCAGTGGAAGCATATCAATGTTCTGATAGTACCTTAAGTTTGAATCACCATATTTTTATAATTTCAAATTGATTCAATTTTCAGCTCCTGAAGTATAACAACTAGCATATGGCTTTAGCAGATTGGAGTTTAATGGCATATATCTACATGGGCTATCAAATAATGTTGGATTCCTCAAGTTTCTGATTTGTTTGTTTGTTAAACCAACCATTAAAATATTATAAGGTTGGTTTTGCTTCAGTTTCAGCAAGCTCAGTCACTCAAATTCCAATATGACCAGGAATCCAGAAAAACTGAATACAAATGAATGATAAGATAAGAGCCAGTCTTTTATAAATATTCAAAATAAATGGGTGAGAATTAACGTTAAGTGATTCCACAGCCTTTGAAGAGCTAAATGAGTCAGTATATATTGTACAATTGGTATACCAGTTAGTTTCTATATGATCAAGAGCAAGTGATATAACATATAACTCTACACTGAAATAGCATCTGTAGAGAAATGCCTGTGAGCAACTACAGAGTTGTAACAAAAGATAGCTGAACCCACAGAGTTACCTGATTTTGAACCATCTGTAAAAATAGGAACACAATGATGGTTTGAAAGGTTTTTATTAAAAAGAAGTCAGTACTTCCAGTCGGGAGAATCTGGCTTCTTCGGGTAACTCAAAGAAAGATCACAGGTAGGAATGATAACAGCCACGGTGATCATCAGATTCTGCAATATCATTCAATATCAGACCAACTTCAGTTAACTTTGCACAAATACACAGAGAGACACTGTATACAAATACTGGTCTGAAGAAGTGTGGAAAGCCCCTGATGATTCCGAGGGCCCAATGCAAAGAGCCTGGCCAAAGCATAAACCATAGACTCATCGACAAATTCAGCACAAATGAGTGCACGATAGGTCTTGAGGATAGAACCCATATCTCAAGAGAATGTACATCTGAATAAGCCACCACAATTTTAAATTGTTTACACTGGTCCAGTCACACAAGTGTTGATGCAAAAGATGATGCAGCATTTCATAGTGAATGTAAGCTGATCTGACTGATTATTGCTGGATCCATTTAGAGCAATTTTAAGTTCCACCAGAGTAAATGGTCAATTACAGTCATATAGACAATCAGTCCGAAAAGAAGGTGGTATTCTTTTGCCCAGTGTCTTGCTGGCCATGAAGGAAGGGGAAGAGGTGGATGTGCTCCAAGGGAGTTAGAAATATCTTAAAAAGAAGATGAGAGATATACCTTCCACTCACCTTTCAAATCTTGTTCCAAATGACCTTGGAGCTGGTGGTAGAAGAGATACTGGAAGTGAATTTATTCCAAGATTCCTTCTAGCTTTGATCTCTGACCTGTTGGGCATGTGCATGATCCTGTTGAAAAGCCATGCAGTTGATAAGAATGCAATATTTGCAGAAGATATCCCAGACTCATTTCTGAGTCTGTCATGACCACTGACAGACAGGTGTCCACCATGGATGAAAATACCATGAAAAACATGTTTAGGTGTGTTACAAGAACAGCTGCCTGGATAGTAGAATCAGTTATTGCCTCCATGCAATCATTAACAGAGGGTAGGTTAACAACAGAAGGATTATGCTCCAAGAGAGTACTGAAAGAGGGTCAGTTAGCCGTCTCCAGCTTCCACTATGGCAACAAGTGGAATGGCATCAACTACAACAATCTCCCTCAGAAAGATGGGAAAACAATCACTGTCTCGGATATCACTGTCCACCTTCCAAGGAAAACAAGTTAGAGAAGTGGAACAAATGAATAAATCTATAGCAGTAAAAGTCTTAATTGGGACATGAAAATAAGTAAATGCTCCACAACTGAAAAAAGGAAAGTTATTATCTGAGAGCATAAGCTCCACAGATTGACCCCTTCCATCAATGTTTTCCCCACCCCAGAGTTGATTGTGTCCATTAGTCTCCCAGGGTGGAGAAGAGTGATGGCAAACCTCAATAAGTTCATCAAGCTCCTCCTGATCGACTCTTCTTCTGGTGACAGGTATATTTATCATAGTGTGGCAATGTGGCCAATGGAGAACAGATGGCAACAGCCTTTAGTGGTGTAGTGAGTGACATAGTCACAGAGAGTGCATGCTGGTCAACCAGCAGTGCTATTCCTCCATGAACTCATCTATCACATAACTTGTCTTTCCAGTACAATGAAAACTGCCAAATTATGACAGTATCAACAGTTTTCAGGAATGTCTCCTAAAGGAGACAAACACACAGGAGGGTAATAATTGATCAGTGCTTTAATTTTGTCCAACTTAGTGTGAAAACCTTAATAGTTCCACTGTATCAGTGTCACTATTTTCACCTAGAATTTGTTATTCTATATGGAGAGCCTTCTTCTTTCAATTTTTCATCACTTTTCTTTACTGTATTAGGTCTCTCACTCTCACTAGATCCTGCCTTGGATCAAAGTGACAGGCCACATAGGAAAACATGATTCTAATCAAGGAGGGTGGGACCTAATTAAGGTCCTGCACCTCAGGGCCAATTTAACTGGATCCAATTGCTCACTCTTGTCAGTGTTGGAAAGACAGATACTGATTTAACATGGGTAAAGAAAGATCCCGGGGATGGCATGGAGAGATCTGTCTGCACTCCCACAGTGGTAGTGGAACAATGTAGCAGCATAACTTTACTTATTAAGAGGGATCACCATTTTCCTTGCTTCTGAATAAGAAATGTTGTCGATAGTTGTTAACCACTGTACCTCTTTCTCCTCCATCCACTTAAAGCATGATCAAAAGTACAAGAGGTGGGACTAGAGAAGTTAATAGTGTGGCCCTAACTTACAGTTGTAGCTATAACATCTTTACCTTCACAAGTTAAACTACCAAATCGAGATGTCTTTAAGTGCCCAAACTGCTGACATTGAAAACAATGAAGAGGGTTTTGAACACAAGGACTGACTGCACAGTTCAGATATCTAACTGTAACACTCTAGCTAGATTAACGAGATTACCACTGTCCCTATCTACTATCTAGCGAAACCACAGCCATGGGAATGGGCTTGGATAAATCAGCGAAACCACAGCCAAGGGAACGCGCTTGGAAAAATCTAGCGAAACCACAGCCAAGGGAACGAGCTTGGAAAAATCAGCCGGTTCAGATATCTAACTTTAACACTTATGTGGTGTTGTAAACATCAAAATCAGAACCCCAGTTGACAAATGCAGGATTGTGTGAGCACTATACAAAAACACCCCCACAAAACATAATGTCCACAACATTCTCTGAGGATGTCCGATACTGGAACTTGGTTGACCCTAGCCACAGTGGCCAAGCTGACTGACCTAAATAATGCCATTCATATAAGGTCAAAGTGGTGTGTTGCAGTGCCCCAAACATCATTCAACTACCAGGATCTTCTCTTCCCCTTAATAGTTTACCACATGGGTAGATGTTTGTATCGCAGAGAAACTAAAGTACAGGTCACCTCATCATATACAGGAATCAACATTGGGGGCAACTTTGGCATCTGGTAACTTGTTTATATGCACTACATAAAGTTCTGCAGAGTTCTGTTAAGCTACGAACAGGGGTCATTAATTTTTGAGTTAAATTAACAACAGGTACACAATTCATGTTGCGAAATTCTTTACCAGTTACTCACCACTGGTTAGCAGAAGCAGAGAAGTTTACATATACAATGTCAAGGAATAATTTTTTACTGGTATATTACCACTGTTTAATAAATACAGATATTTTCATATAATAGTGTCAAGAAATTCTTTTTTGCTGATCAATCACCACTGTTTAGAAGAAACAGAAAAATTTCTATTTACTTTTGTAACACTTATCTAACGAATCAGTGACCTGTATTGTATATTTTCTAGCTTAAGGATAAACAACTTATTTTAATAGTTAATTTTATTAATCTCATTAATTATAGAGCTTAAAATAGTTTTGAAATTAAAATTATATATATATATATATATATGTATAGTGATTATTTTGTCCTGTCGACTTAGTACATGAACTTAGAACCAATTAAAATACAAGTTGAACATACCTTGTGATATAATACAATACTAGAATTAATGCCAAAAATATTATCAACACTGTAAGCAAGACTATGCCACTTACAGTTCAATACATATTAAACATTTCAGATTTTTGGTTTTATCATGTAATGATTTGTGACGTTAAGCATTTCTAATCAGCATGTTATACAAGATTACCTTTAATATATGTTACTTTTTAAATATATTAGTCCTGTTTGATATAATGAGTTAAATTTTTAGCAGAAGCTTTTATTAATTGGTCAGTATGTATATACTTAATGATATAATTATTAAAAGTATTACTAACAGTATACAAGACAAGAATACAAAATAATACAGGACTTTCAGTTTGCATGCAATTCATTGTTTACATATGTTCATTCACACATATATATTTTATTCATGTTTTCTGAAATGTTCTGCGTCTGCTAATAACATATTCTACCCATTTGACTAACAATGCTTCCATCATGTGGAATTTGTGGATAAAGCATTAACACCAAAATATTAAAAGGTCAGATATTGGTTTTTGGGCAGATCCAGTGTTAGAACTTGATTATTAGAAAATAAATATAAAATTGTGAAATGGCAATATTCAATGTGTTGACAAAGTGTTTATGTCTAACAAATATTTCAAAGGCAAAATACATCACTTTAAGTTTAAATATGTTACATAAGATTAAGCAATGTGACACTGACAGTGTTCAACTGTACAACAACAAAAACCAGCAGATCATGCTTCAGCAGCTTTTCAAATCCGAGTTGTATTTCCTCAACAATTTTATATTATAGAATCTGAAGATCATCACAATCAATATTTGGAATTGGAGAAACCTGATTAATGTTAAATGTTGCGTGTTACTGCTAGAATATTACCGTACAGGACACGTTACATGTTGATAAACTTATAAAAAATATTAAAACTTAAAATATTATTACTATTAATCAAAACAAATTACATTAATAACAGAGGCTCATTAGTAAACGCTGTCTTACGCTCAACGCAACTTTCATTTTCACGTTACTGTGTCATAATGATACTCAAAATATTATTAACGCAATTTATAGCCTACCTGTTCAAGCTCTTGCAGAAACTCAGACATCGTAAATAATACAAGATTTTACGCTCAAAACCTCAAATTCGATAAAGCGGAAGGTTATTTCAAAACTATTTATTGATAACTATTTAATTTTACTTTTTGTTATTGATAATATAAATGATATTGGTGAAGACGTTACATTATTAAATCAAGCCCCTGCCCCCGGTTAAAAGCGAAGTCTAGAGGTTATTTTTCACAGTACAGTCCTGCAAAAAAAGTAAATTTCCAAATACAAAATAACAAAAGAAAATATTATCTATCGTAAGAAGGACAAAATTTGAATATATATATATATTTAGATATTCAAAAAATCTAAATATATTTGTAATTTATTAAAACATAGAAAATACATTTTTATTAATACCGCTATCATAAAACAAGATTTTAGAAAATTGGCGTAATATACGAGCAATAAGTTTATTTGTTTGTTTGTTCGTTCTGAATTTCCCACAAAGCTACACGAGGGCTATCTGCGTTAGCCGTCCCTAATTTAGTAGTGTAAGACTAGAGGGAAGGCAGCTAGTCGTTACCATCCACCGCCAGCTCTAGTGGGATTGTCCGTCACATTATAACGCCCCCACGGCTGAAAGGGCGAGCATTTTTGGTGTGACGGGGATTCGAATCCGCGACCCGATGATTGCGAGTCGAGCGCCCTAACCACCTGGCTATGCCGGGCCACGAGCAACAAAGCACCAGTTGATTTTTCGGGGTTTTGCACATGTACTTCTGGTCCCCCGGTGAAACAGCGGTAAATTTACGGACTCAAAACGCTCGAATTCTGGTTCGATTCCCTGCAGTAGACACAGCAGATAGTCCTAGTTGGCTTTGCTTTAAAACAAACAAGCATCTACCTCTGAGAAAAAGAAAAGTAAAAAATTAAACAAATCATTTATTTTTCAGGAATTCTATCAATGATTTCACATAAGATGCTGGCCTCTACTACTGTTGATAGCAACTCATTCTATAAGTTAATCACCCTCTTTTGATTATTTTCCTTACTAGAGCTCAGCCCGTCTTTTTGAAAACTTAAGCTCGTCACCGCTCGTGTCATTTTCTTAAAAGCAGAGTATGAAGATATCAGAGACCTTACAATCCTGTCGATTTGTAGAATAACCTTGTAATCTTCTATAAGATATCCTTTTTACCTTCTTTTCTAAAGAGAAAGTAAGTCAAGAAATCTTAACGCATCTCCATAAGACAACCCTTTCATTCTTGAAATCAACTTAGTAGTCCTCCTCTTAACCCTTTCAAATAAATCAATGTCCTAGATAAGGGACCAAAACTATACACAATACTCCACATGAAACCTTATCAGTAATTTCTATTAAAAGATAATAACCTATTTTTATTATTAATTAACATGTGTATAGATACATCCAGGCTAAGTTATATTACCTTTATTACTAGCAATCGAACACTGTCTCTTGGCTTAATGGGTTATTCACCACTAAGCCAAGACCATTTTCTTCAGTCACACTGTAAAAAAGGGTTACTGTGTATGTAAATAATGGTATTTGTATATTGTTACGTATCTCCTTGTTTGTTAATTTCCGGTATAACTTCTTTCCGAGGAACCTCAGCGATACAAGTCCTTAAACCAGTTTATTCTTTCTCGATACAAACTTTTAGTACAC